CCCCCCCCCGCATCCCCAACGTGTGTTTGCCTGTTTCCTTCAGAGAGAGAAGCACAAGCTGAACCCTAACAGAAACCAGCAAATAAATGTGAGAAAAGTGAGAACAAGAAGAGAAGAGTGGGAGAGAAGAAAAATGGGCATTGAGTTCATGGGTGACGCCAAGGAGCTGGCGCAGGCAGGGAGCACGGCCGAGGACACCGTGCCCAGGGGGTTCGTCACTTTGCGCCTTCGGACCCCAGCCTCAGGCTGCCCGCCCTGCTTCGGCTGTCCTGAGAGGACGCGCGGCCCCCTCACTGACAACGCCTCCTGTAACCTGTCCTGTAACCCCGGGCCACGAACGTGCCGCTGTCGTTACTAATGCCCGCGGCCCGTGTGGCTGCCGACACTCGCGAGTCCCCGCTCCCTCCGTAGGGCCTCGCCGGCGTCCCGGCGTCCGCGCCTTTCTCAGCTCTTCGCATCTAATCCAAGACGTCCATTCCTTCCAGAGTTTCACACTCAGCTGTGCGCTCAAAGAGAAGATGACCTTTCCGTGTTACCCCACATTCTTTCCCTTTTGGCCGAGTACAGTTCTTCTGTCGAAGAACACTACGGTTCACTGTATTGCACTCTGGATTTCTTTCCTTTTCTTTCCCGTTCGTGTTCATCCGGGTCACCTGCCATTTCGTGACTTCTAATTATACGCTCTCACTCGCATTGCCACTGAAATCCTCTGCCTTAGGTGCGGTTTTTTAATTAAATGGGATCTGTCTTGTAGCCTTCTCTCTTAGAAAAAAAAAAAAAAAAACACGCTGAAATACTGTGGAAATGGGGCTCTGCTGCTTCCTGCTTGCCGATCTGACTTACCCACTTCCACGCTGTGAATCTGAAGCCACGTAACACTGGGGCTTGCTGCTAAAGTCGTAATGATGTTGTTGCTGGGAGGCTCTCATGGGGCTGGACCTGGCTGGTGCTTGTAAAGGAAACACAGTGTGTGATTTCTGTACATTGGCAAGGTTGTTACTCAAATAGAGGTGTATGCCTGTTGGGGTGGGGTGGGGGGATCCTCCTAATTTAATTTGAATTTCTCCCCCCCCCCCCTTTCCCTGAACGCCAGGTCGCACGCATCGGATGTCACCGATTACTCTTACCCGGCGACCCCCAACCACTCTCTGCAGCCGCAGCCCGTGACCCCTTCTTACGCGGCCGGCGACGCACCACCGCACGGGCCGGCAGCCCAGGCCCCCGAGCATGAGTACCGACCCCCCTCCGCCTCGGCGAGGCACATGGCGCTGAACAGACCCCAGCAGCCGCCGCCGCCACCCCCACCGCAGGCCACAGAGGGGTCCCAGGCCTCCGCGCCCATGGCGCCAGCAGACTACGGGTAACGGGGACTCCTGCGTCCTGCCGCGCTTGCTGTGGCGTCGGGAGTCTTGCTGTGTGTGCTCGAGAAGGTGCAACTGGACGATCACACCTTAGGGGCCAGAAGCAGCCAGGGGCGGCTGGGGGTAGATACTACCAGCTAAGCCACGTTCCGCGTTAAAAGCCTCAGTGTCCCGCTGCTCCCCTTTCCGTTACAAATGCATCTCAGGTTCGAATCCGTAGTCATGCACATACCCCCCCTCCCTTCATACATACCCCTGGCTACGTTCGAATGGATTGCGAAGCCCAAGGCGTTGATCGAGGGTGACACGCTGATTTTGTGAACCTGTCCCAGATCTCCGGGTTTCTGGACGTGCGCCGGGTGAACCGCAGAGAGTTCCCGTCACACGTGAGAAAACCATACAGTGCAGCCCCCCATGAGCTGTGTTTGCACTTGGCCCCGTGGTCCCTTTTCTTGACCCGTTGGAGCCCAGACGTCATTCCTCCCCCGGGTCCTTTTGTTTTCTGTGTCTCGGGTGGGATTCAAACACCTCCTAAAGAAAGACCCTCACGTTCAGGAGTTTATTAGTGTAAGCGCCCATCTCTGTTTTGATAGGCGGTCTTTTGCTCTGTCTTTTCGGGCTCAACCGTAACCTTTGAAGAGTTAGGCCCTCCGAGACAGTGTCCGGGAAGGTTGAGTGTGTGTTTGTGTTAACATGTGTGTTCTTCAGAGCAGCATGAAACACCTGAATGTATGCTCCGCCCCCCCCCCCCCCCCCCCCAGCTTTTTGAGTTTCCCTCTGTGACCACTCAGTCCTGGTTATTCCCATCCATCCGTTCTCTCTCTTGGAGTGTGTTCTGAGGCTCTTTCTGTAAGGTCAAGAGCAAAGAAGAGGAGCCTGTAATCAGTTGGTTAGGAAAAGCCTTAGCTAAGTAGAATTCAGTGGATTTCTTAGCTGAAGGACTTTTCAAAGATTTTGAGACTTCCATAGGCACTGTCGGCTTGAGGAACTTCCGTGGGACGGGCTAGGAAATACAGATTTTTCCAAATCTGACTGACCACAGAACCCTTGTAAGACCGAGTGCGTGAGCTGCCCACCTTTGAGATGCCCAGGAGAAAGGGGAGATTTGAGTCACTGTTCTTAACCTCTGCCGTCAACCGTTTTATTCTGGCCTGCCACAGAGAGTTACTTTTTGAGTGATTTTCTTTTCGGTTCCTTTGAGTAGGTGATCTCGAATTGCATCACAGCGAATAATGTAGACATGTGAGAATGGCTGGTGCGAAGCGTGGATGTTTGCGTCCTACGGTGTTGCAAGTTCAAAGGACAGTGTATATTATGTTGGAGGGAGGCCCCTGTGTTAGGTGTATTAGACGCGCAGAGGATGTGGCTGTTGCTGCTTTAACGACTCTTGGTGTTTCCTCTCTTTATCAGGATGCTCCCAGCACAGATCATTGAGTATTACAACCCCTCAGGACCGCCGCCTCCTCCGCCGCCCCCCATGATTCCTTCAGCACAAACTGCTTTCGTCAGCCCTCTCCAGATCCCCATGCAGCCCCCCTTCCCTGCCTCTGCGGGCTCCTCCTACGCGCCTCCTCCCCACCCTCCCGCCGCGGGGCTCGTGGTCACGGCCCCGCCACCTCCGGGCCCACCGCCGCCCCCGCCGGGTCCTCCTGGCGCAGGGTCTTCTCGATCCTCCTCCCCGATGCATGGCCCCCCAGCAGCCGAGGCAAAGCGCCAGGAGACGGCACAGCCACCCATAAGCGATGCTCGAAGCGATCTGCTTGCCGCCATTCGAATGGGTGAGTGAGCATCTCAAACACAGTCTTCCTTCCAGAAGGAGATCTCTTCGTGGCTCCGACCCCAGCTACAGCCTGGCCCTCAAGTGTCTACTCTCCACTGAACTGTGTCTGAGGATAGGGTTCAAGGACACTTGTTTGATTTTGTTTTTGAAGTTTATTTATTTTGAGAGAGACAGAGGTGGTGCGAGCGGGCGAGGGGCAGAGAGAGAAGGAGAGAGAGAGAGAGAGAATCCCCTGTGCCACCAGCTTTGGAGCCCAGCGCGGGGCTCGAACTCACGAACCGTGAGATCGTGACCTGGGCCGAAACCAGGAGTTGGACGCTCAGCCGACTGAGCCACCCAGGCGCCCCTTGATTTTGTTTTTGGTAAACTGTAGATATGTTTTTGCCAGTGCAAGATAAACACACAGTAATAAAGAATTGAGAATTCAGGAAACCTTTACTTGACTAGAAATAGCTCATAAAAATGATCACTAATTAATGAGATCTTTTCCTCTGCCTTCTACTCTGAGGGTAAATGTATAAATGAGTGAAAGCGAGCTCGTGTATATGATTTAGTTATTTTTAAAAATCTAAGCTGTGTCCTAGACTTCCCATATTTTTAGCTCGATGTGCTAAGCCAGTAAGCTTTTCGACATTTATTTAGCAGCAAAATTCTTTTGTCAGATTGAAGTCCTACACTGAACCCCAGAACATGAGACATACAGAAATAGAGCATCTCTGGTCCCGTCAGGTTGGAGGAGCCCAGATGCTCACCCATTTTGCCCCCCACCCCCCCAGAGCCACACACTTCCAGTCTATTCCACCCCATTTCTTCTCAGCCCCAGGCACAGCCCAGGCTGGTTGAGGGTCACTGACAGGGCGTGAGATATCCCAAGAGCTCCTCGTGCAGTCGGGAGATGCACCGTCTCCTGGTCACGGTCTGGTTGTTTCTGTTCGGAAGGGACTGAGAAGGGAGCCCGACAGCAACACCCCTGGCGTCCTTCACAGGACGGCGGGGACGTGACTGCCTCTGCTTTGAGTGCCCACACATCAGACTGGAGTGTGACACACAGGCCCGGGGTTCTCGTATGTCTTGAACGTCATTGGCACACTTTGATTTTGTCAAGGAGAGAAGATCCCAGAGGTACACGACCCCGTCACAAATAAATTTAGGGTCATAGCAGGACAGTGGTTTTGTTTTCTGACACCCGTGAGCCCCTTCCAGTAAGAGTGATAACATAACTTGGATCTAATCACGAGGAAACCTCTGATAAGCCCACATCAAGGGACAGTCTACAAAAGAGGTGCCTGTGTTCTTCAGAACCGTCAAGGTCGTAAAACACAAAGACGGAAGAACTTCCCAGAATAAGGGACGTGAATGACAACTAATGTGATGGGTGTTTCCACGTCGGATCCCAAGCCTGGGGGAAAACGTTCTTCATTTGCTGCTGTTAGGTTTGCTGGCAAAATTGAAATGAAATTTGTGCAGTAGATCGTAGTATTTGTGTCTGCACTGAGAGCCTGATTTCGGTCATTGTCTCTTAGGAATTACACATGAGGTATTTTAGGGGCACAGGGACATCATATGCTACCTTATTCTCAAGTGATCCAGGGAAAAGTATGGTGTGTGAGCAAGAATGCCAGAGGAGGGTTGCTAGTTAAACAAGACGGTCAAATGGAATCTGGATGCCGGTTATATGGGGACGTGTTTCCGCTAGTTTTACAGCCTATAAATCCGAAATCGTTTCAAAAGAGAAAGTTAAAGAATTAGCACATTAAATCATCTTTGTATCCCACTTTGTTAATGAGAAAGCAGACGATTGTATTTTGTATTCATTTTCAGCAAATCAGTGAGACAGAGATCTCTTAACTCCCCACACCAGCCAAGGGCTATTGGGGTAAAGCACTGCTTTCTAAGCCTTGGGATTACAGCAGCGTCCGGGAAGTGTTCATGATGCCGTCCAGTATGGTAGCCCCCGGGGCCCAGTAAATTCACCCTTAATTAGCCACACGTGGCTAGCGGCTACCCCACTGGACGGTGTAGCTCCAGAACTTTCGTGACGTTCATATGTCCTGATTCGAACACACTGCCGTAAAACTCTTTGCTACAAAAAACGTTTCCCCTTTGAGTGCCAATTTTGTTGGTCACGAAACTTCTATTTCCCAAGCTTTTCTCCCCTCAGGTTTCCAAAACTTTCTACCCTGGGTGTCAGCAGGAAAAACAACCAAAAAAAGGCTGTTGGGCCTGTTAGTTTGTGTTTCCTTCGTGTGGAGCCAGCAGAGGGATTAAATTCTACGCTCCGTGTCGTGTCTCTAGGGATTCAGCTGAAGAAGGTGCAGGAGCAGCGTGAACAAGAAGCCAAGCGCGAGCCAGTTGGGAACGACGTGGCCACGATTCTGTCCAGACGCATCGCCGTGGAGTACAGCGATTCTGACGACGACTCCGAGTTCGACGAGAACGACTGGTCCGACTGAGGCGGGGCGCGTGCGCAGGTGGACGGCGTGGGGGCAGGGCTGCTTGCCAGCAGGAGACCGTGCGTCGGAAAATGTCTCGCAAATTTTGTGGTCTCCGCACCCACGTAGTGGTATTATACCCCTGTAGCTTAGCAACTTTTGTATTAATAATGTGATATTGCTTTTGCACATCCAAAAATTCTGGGTTTTTTCAGTATTTACTGTGTAATACTTAAGTGCCACTACACATAGCAAATTGTGCTGCACACGAGGAAATATGCTGTAACTATTGCATTGTCCCGAAAACGGCATTTTGCTTCCTTTTTCTTGGCCGTGAGCGTATTTAGTGCAGTTTGGGTTTCCTCCTTTTGGTCGCTATAATTCTGCAGACTTGCTGCGTGTTTGTGAAGCTGCCTGGTGTTAGGTCTTTGCAAGATTAATGACCGTGTGTCAGAGTGATGTCTTCCAATCAGTAAGTGATACCGTTTCATCTTCGTTTTGTTCTGTTTTGTTTTAAATGTGTCTCAGAAGAAGTTGGTTCTAGAGGGAAGGATTCGACAAGTAAGGAGGATCCAGTGTTTCTGCTCGCAGTGTCTGGGCTTGTGCCTCTGTGTGACTCGGAGCGATCTGTTAGATAATTTCGTTTCCTTTGCACCGGCCCTTTGCAGGCAGGGTTCCCTGCGGGCGTTCGCTTGGTCCCTGCCTGTCGGCAATTGCCATTAAGAGGTTTGGGCAGCTGCGCAGTGATGAACATGAACAGCGGGGTTCTTCTTCCGTCAGGGCCATGGGGTTGTGACGCTGGAAATGTGTGACAGCGCTTACAGCCTTGGGTGCCGGCCAGCCAGCACAGACACGGTGGTCCGGGACCCCCGGACCTCAGGGAGAGGGCTTCCCGTGGCTCCTCGCACCACCGCGTGCTCTGAAGTTTAAAAGCTCAGATGGAGGTGGACGTAGATGCTGGCAGCTACTTGCTTTTCCTGGTGCCGCGGCCACATTAGGGATCCATCACCCGAGCGGGGCCGTGGCCCTGCTCCTAGAAGCACACGGTTCTCTTTCCTCACGTGGCCGTCGGCACAGGGAATTTTCAAAAGTACCTCAGGTCAGAGTAGGCTCCTGGCTGCACCGGATCACTTGCCCCTCGCCTTTGCCCTTCCCGTTCTGCTTCCCACATGGCAATACGACCGAGCCGTGGGGTTGATCTTCCTGAGGAAGGCGGACTGCTGGAACGCTCACGGATGGCAGCTTACGTCTTAGAATTTGGGGTGAGGGATCGCTGCTTGTTCGGAACAAATAAACGCCTCCGGGCTTTGATTCTAGATACGACTTCACAAATAACACTAAGACACTTTACGTACTAGGGATTCTTACCCGAGTACAGCATTTCTCACGGATGGCGGTTACTCGTGACTCTCGGTCATGACAAAGGAGTCTTCAGCTCAAGGCAGAGCTGGCTGGTTCACGGTGGTCGTCTCAGCGGGACCATGACCGATGGGTTTTTGTTACTGAGTCCTCCTGAGGACTTCAGCGGCACCCTCGAACCGGGTCTCTGCGTCCCTGTGTGGACATTTACGTGGCTTGTGGGCGTTCATCCTGTAAAGCAGATACCTTGAATTTTAATCACGTAGAGTTGGAGACTCTGAAAAGCCTAATGTCCGTGTCCCCTTCCCAAGACCATCCTTCTCACATCAGGTTACCTGAGTCTTTTCAGCGGGACTAGCTATTTTGACACATGCTTCTCGAGTTTCTGTTTCTTGGAGCTGGATGCCATAATTTTACCGATTATAAGCAGTAGTTAGTAATGAACGTTTAAATTTCTCCCTTTGATTTCTCTCCCTTTATTTCAGTGTAAAGGCCTCCTGTGTTGGCATTATTCTTGGGACTTTTACCATTTGTACTCCTCTTTTGTCTTTATTACAATATTTTGTTTTTATTGTTACTTTTGGAGTAGGAATTACTTGCACAATTCTAGAACTTCTATCTGGTAACGCTTCTTTGTTTTTTATGTCCCTTCTGTTCTCAGGACGAAGAGAACACATAAGGCTACTACCCATGTCAGAATTTCTTCTATTTATATCTTATTACAATAAAATTACTGGCACTTTATTCATAAATATTCATAAGCCTATTAATTATTAGTTGTCTTCCTGTAGTGGAATCAACAAGTCACTTTCAACTTGATTTTCCGACTAGTGAAAAACCTCTTGCCCTAGGGTGTCACATAGCCTTTAACAGAATGGAAAAGGACTAAATTTCCATTTCGATTATTTTTACAGTATTTTTCTCAGCAAATCGGATTTCTTCGAAAATTTAAATCCAGACTTTTTCTAATGTGCTAGTACATGAAAAGGAAAAAGTGAATACTTTGAATTTTCAGTTTTCCATTTTCAAAAAATATTTACCAAAACAAACGGAGAAGGACATTCAAAAGGGTATTTCATAGCTGTGAATTTTACGTTTTAAGGTAGTAGTCATCTATTGTAAGGTTATTTTAAATCATCCTCCGTTTTGTTCCCCCACGTGTATTTTAGACTCATTTCTGATGATCAGCTTTTTTCTCACATCATAGATTAGGCAGAGGGGATGAGAAGACTGCTCGGTACCACACACATTAGCTACACAAACATAACGTGGTTGCTTTTCCATTGGTGGCCCCAGACCGTAGGATTTGGTACACTTCTGGTTTTCCTTTCGTGAAAGTATACTGTTAGGAAATTAACATTTTCATTTCAGTAAATGTTTAGAATATCAACATCTTTTCTGAGCACCAAGTGGCTAGGCTGTGAAAGTTTTGTAATAATTTGCAACGGAAATACACGATACATTTGAATCCATTAAAGACTAGTGGGAATGTATCAGCCAGAGTAGCAAGTAAGTTTTGTTTTATAAATCAGAGTATCTGTCACCTTGCAGTATTATTACCAATGCTGTTGTAAATTGAATTGAAAATGGTATTAAAAAAAAAAAAACCTCCTGTTAAACAATTTTTATCTGTTTGTATATCTTACTATAGATTATGTACAAGTAACATCTAAATAAAATTACACTTTTAACCCTAAAAGGTTTTACTCATTGGCAACAGTGTTGTATGTTTAACCTTTTTTGGAGGGGAGAAGTTGGGGGTTTGGCAGAGTTTTTAAAAAAATTAAAAAAAATTTCTTTTAATGTTTATTTTTGAGAGAGAGAGAGAGAGAGAGACCGTGAACAGAGGAAGGGCAGAGAGAGAGGGAGACACAGAATCCGAAACAGGCTCCAGGCTCCGAGCTGTCAGCGCAGAGCCTGATGCGGGGCTCGACCTCACGGACCGCGAGATCATGACCTGAGCTGAAATTAGAGGCTTAACCGACTGAGCCACCCAGGTGCCCCTTACAGTTTTTTTAACGTTCTTATTTATCTTTGAGAGAGAGACACAGTGCATGAGCTGGGGAGAGGCATAGAGAGAAGGAGACACAGAATCTGAAGCAGATCCAGGCTCTGAGCTGTCACCACAGAGCCCAATGCAGGGCTCGAACTTGTGAACCTTGAGATCATGACCTGGGCTGGAGTCGGACACTCAACCCACTGAGCCACCCAGGTGCCACAAGGGCAGAGTTTTTAATTAGCATTTTCATTATTAGATAGCAAATACTCCGATTTCCATTTAAATTTCTGCATAAGTTTTGCGTCACCAGGAGTTGTGATTGGATTCTGGGAGGGGCCCGGCATAGTGAGAAAGAAAAAGCCATTCTGGGAGCAGGAGGCCGTGTGCTTCGCCACGTCTAGTCTTGATAATAGCAGTGATGAACATTCGGTAGCACTTATTGTTCCTGGGATGCTTTTCTCCAGTCCTTACAGTAACACATCATGATACACGTCGTATACGTATATAACACATCATATACATTCAGTATACACATCATAAATTAGAGTTTAATATTTGTAACTGATGTTTAATATTTTTGAGGTAAGCGTGAAATGCAGCATCCTAAGTATACCATTCGATGAGTTTTCACAGTGTGGACGCTCTTGTAACGCAAATCCCATCGCTTGTAACGCCAGTCCCACAACGGTAGCCAGCACTGCCGTGACCCCAGCATGTTGCTCCATACCCTTCAGAGGCTTCTATCCTAGTCCCTGGAGCAACCACCGTTGTGGTTTGGTTTTGTTTTTTTAAGCTATGGATTCATTTTAGCCTGTTTGAGAACTTCACATATGTGGAGTAAAATAGTACCATTTTACATCTGGCTTCTTTTAGCATAATGTTCTTGAAAGCCATTAATGTCACGGCATATGTCAATATTTTATGCCTTTTTTGTCATTGAGTAGCGTTCCATTGTATGAATATCCCGAAGTGGGTTTATCCACGCTCTTGGTAAGGCTCCATACAAGTCCTTTCTGGGCGTATCTGCTCATCTATCTTGGATAAATACCCAGGAACGAGACTGCTGAGTCACAGGTAGGTGTATGTTTAGTTTTATAAGAAATTGCCAGACTTTTGCAAAGTGGCTGTACTATTTTAAACTCCCCAGCAATGTTGCTTCATATGCTTTGGTATGATTTTCCTTGTATTTATCTCGCTTGGAGTTCCCTGAACTTGAATCTGTAATTTATGTCTTAAATGAAATTTGGAGAATATTTAGACGTTACTTTTTCAAATATATTTTCTGTCCCTTTCTTTCCTTACATTCCTATTACACATACATTAACCTTTTGAGGTTGGCCCACAATTCCTTGAGGCTCTTTTGATTTAAAAATTGTTTTTCTCTCTGTTTTTCTCTCTTCAGGTTCACCGACTCTTTATTCTGTCTCTTACAATTTACTCTAAAGCCCATCTAGTAAGTCTTTTCTTCCAACCTTCTTTTCCATGTAGAATTTCATATCCTTTTTTAAAATTTATTATGAGAGAGAGGGAGCATGAGTAGGGGAGGGGCAGAGAGAGAGGAGACAGAGAATCCCAAGCAGGCTCTGGGCTGTCAGCATGGAACCCAATGCAGTTGATCTCACAAACCACGAAATCATGACCTGAGCCAAAATCAAGTGTCTGA